GGGATTGCAGATCACAAGCCGGATCCTGGTGACCTGCCACAGAAGGGACTTCCCTGTGTGCAAGCAGAATGAAAGTCCTTTGAAAGCCCTGGATCCTAGTTCTGTGCATATGCTAAGCTCCAGATCCTTGTAGCTTCAGGTCCTTGTTGCTTCAATCTAACGCTGAATCTAGTACTGGAATTATATTGAAGGCTTTTGATTGCTCTGATCTGTTTCTCTAAGGACAGCAATGCATAACTGCGCTCTCAGCTACTTTCAGAATTCCCCAAGTGAAATCTGTTATTCATGCCCGTGTTCTGCCACAGGTTTCATGGTAAATCCAGCAGTCAGTCCCTTTGCACTTGGTTTGGGTTGACTTCAGGTCAAAACCCAATGTTGTTGCAAGCCTGGACTTTGGTCTCTGTGCCAGTTATCTGTAGAGCAGTTTAATAACAATGTAGAGATGTATGATAATATTGTTTTGTTGTTAATTTCAAAATAATGGAATAGTCTGATCATGTAGAATGGGAGTTATATTGAAATTCTGCACTTAGCTTGTTTCTTCCTCTTAGTGGAGAGCCCTAGAATTACTTAATTCCACATCTGATCCATGTGCTGGCGATTCTTTAGTGTAATGTTGTGGTCTTGAAGCAGAAATGAATGAGTTTGGTGCCTGAAGGCACTGCAAAGTTGAGAAGAGTCAGAGTAATACTGGCTGTGAACAGCATAACATGTGGCATATGTGCAAAGTAATTGTTTTAATTAGCAGAAAGAGTAAGTTGAAAAGTAATTCACTGCAAAACAAATGATGCTGTGGCTGAGAGTTCGAGGCCGCAGTGTACACAGTTAGGATACAGATGTTAACTTGTACCTGGGTGTGTGCCATAGGGCTAAATGTAGGGGAAGCTGGTTGCTAACTGTCTGAACCACCTCTTTGAAGAGGCCAGAGGAGTCCTCATGCTCTGCTTTCTAGTCCTGCTCCGCTCTGTCAAACCTCCTACAGGCAGATGACAGCATCCAGAGCCTTCACAGCTTTGTGCTAAGGAAAACTGCATCAAAGCAAACCTCTTGCTGCTGACACTGTAAGGTTTTGCTCTGTATGTATGGAGCATTTAGTACATGTACTTGGAGCCAGAGTGGGCTGGGGAAGAACCTCACAGACTCTACAACTTTAATGTTTGCTGCCATCATTTAAAACAATGCATCTAATGTTTCGAGGAGGAGCTGGAGGTGTTTTTGGCTTCCTTGCCCCTCCAGAAACCCACAGTCTAGGTTTCTTCTCTCCAACTGGCTTTAAACACAACCCCACCTCTTCAATGCGATCTCCAGGAGGTTAAATGCTGCGAGTGTGAGGGCTCAGCAGCTTGGCAGCCCTCGCTTACATGTTTGCTTTGCAGCAGGAGTGTTTTTTGTTCCCCTGCGCCCACACTGGGACTCTTCCAGGGTACCAGAATAGTGCCACCACACACAACCTCGCTCCGGGAGGGAAAGCGGTGAGGTCCCATGCCCTTCTTTCTCTCTCTCCCTATAAAGTAGTTGCCACAAAATAGACCCCAAGTGACCACTTATATTAATCACAAGTCTGGATCCCCCAGGGCACCTGGTTCTGCTTTCCCCATTTAGAGAGGCTAATTTAAATTCCAGCCACCAAGCCAGAATCCTTTCTTTCTACTGAAGCGGAAGGACTCATGGCAAAAACCAGACTGTTCTGCATGGAGAATCCCATGGATCCCATGGCCCTCTTTAGGTTGGCAGCCTTTTCCTTTCCCTTACTCTGATTTGCTTCATTTAAATCTGTAAGCACAAGTCCTGTCTGGAAATACAGTGCCTGTGCTCACTAACCAAGTAAGATGGGGTGTTCTGTGTTTCTGGTTTGGGCTTTTTTTCTGTCAGGAGAACTGTGGTCATCCAACCTTTGTTGTTTTTAAATCACCCCAAGATGCTATGGTAAGGAATGCAGTGGATGATGGCTAAATGACTACAGTCATTACTGTTGGTATTAATCATCTGAGTTGGCAAGGCAGACTTGGTCTGAGGCTGCCAATGCATTTCAGAGGGAAATGGAGGCAGTGTTAGTGAGCAGGCAGACAAGTCACTGAAACTTGGGAAACTTACCTCTGTTTCCTTCCTGGCTCTGTCCTCCTGACTCAGGACAAGCCACTTTCCACTCGCTGGCTGTCCAATGTCCTTGGAGATATCAGCTCCAGTAGGCAGAGATGGGGGGCTCTTCCTATTGCTTAGCAGCTGCCATAGTAGGGAATCTAGATGCCTCCACGAGTTTGCTGCATGCGTGTTTCTCCAGACATCCTAGAATCCCAGAATGGTTTGGGTTGGAAGAGACCTTAAAACTCACCCTGGCCCTACCTGCCCTTGTAAACATCCTCTATGAAAGCTGATCTCAGAAAGATGGGGTATGAAAGCTTCTTGGGAGGTTTCAAGTGATGCTCAGCTCCATGACAGGGCTTCTCCTGAGGGAAATGTGATGGGGATAGCATTTGCAGAGGCTGGGCTCAGTGTTTGGATGCTCCTGTGTTACATGTAGAGTTGCATTTCAGGATGCTGTTCGATATGGACAAGCAGTCCCATGGCTATTGTGTTAACCTAGTGTGACACTGCCCATGGGGCTGACAGAGGAGCTAATGTTCAGAGCAGTCACTCTGCAACTTGCCAGTGAGCCCCAGCAGCTCATAAAGCAGACAGTACCTGGCTGGAAAAGAGCTGCTGCTGCTGCCAGTGATGCCACGAATAGGATAAATATGTTATGCTTTCCTTCCCAGCCTTGCTTGTAATTAAGGGCACTATGCCAGCATAGGCAGCATTTCAAACAAGATTCTCCTATAGTGCCTATAGCATTCAGTCCATAAATGACCCAGCCCCACTGCATCCATCCTAGAACAAAAAAGGCCTGACAAATGAGGATATTACCGGCCCAGTGCCCATTGTTCTCCTTCTTATCAAGCCTGGTAGCACAAAATAGTGACTGAATCTGGTCTGACTAATAAAGCTCCTATGGAGGGAGCAGGATGAAGGGGCTGTCAGCACTTAGCAAGCAGCTCAGGAAGCACAGGGACTGTGAGCCTATTGTTCAGCTGAAATCCTCCCCCCTCCAGCTTCTCCCCTCCACCTCAAGCTCTCAGATTTATAATTTTAAAGAACTCTCTAAAGCTTATCAGAGAGGCTTTGCTCTCTAATACATCATATCTTAAACACAGATTCCCCAATGGCTTGCTCATTGGACTGCAGTCAGGCTAAAAGGACTGCTAGGCATCTGGGATCTTCTTTGCTGTGCTGTGGGATTTTCAGCTTGGTTTCCAAGGGAAGCGCGTGTCTGTCCATCTGCCCCCAGCAATACTGGAGCCTGTTAGTCTGTTTAGACTAAATATGATCCAGAGGTATGGGGAACAGGAGCAAAGTAGCACTCAAGCTGTGAGATGGGGGGGGATGTCTGTGGAGGTGGGCTGGTGGCTCAGTGGAGCCTGCCTTATCTTCCCAATGGCAGTGCCAAGCCTCCCACACTTTCACAGCACAACATGCAGCCGTTCTCCTCCTCCATGTCCCACAGTCTCAGTCAGGGGATCCCTGGGATTCACTCCTTGGTTTCTACCCCACATCAAGTCCTTCTGTTGTTGTATCAGACAGCTTGACAAGAAGAAACCGCAGAGGCTTGGATAATTTAGTTCATCTCTTGAGCCTTCTCAATGCCCACTGCTGATCCTGCTAATTTTGCCATGTTCTAAGCTTTTTGTCAGCCTTCTTTCACCGCTGTGTTGTCTCTGATTTACATCAAATCACAGAGGAATCGATAGGCTTCGAAAGGGGAGTTGCACAGCAGAGGATGAGAACTTCCAAATAGCATGGAGGGTGGAGAAGTAGGAGCCAAGGGACATTTGGGGTGAGAAAGCATAGACCAAGGTTAGAAGGGGTCCAGAGACCAATGCTATGCAGTCTGCTTTCTGGGAAAGCCATTTCATCTGGGAAAGGCATGTAAAGCCTGAGAAAAGTGCATTTATGCATGTAAATAAATAACATGATATTTAACCTTCTTCCCAGGCGTGCTGTGAGTGTGAATGTTTGCAAAGCTGTGAGATCCTCAGTTGAAAGGTGCTGTGAAAGTGCAAAGCATTATTAATATCCTTTACCTTACTCATAATAGAGTATGCGTTCATTGTGGGGAGTTTCTGGACATAAACCAGACAGCTGCAGAACGACATTTCTTGAAAGCATCTATGATTTATTTTCTGCTCTTTAATTCCATTTTGTATTGAGCGCACATTTGTCATAGGACTCTTGTTCCACTGGGCCTTTCAAGTCTAAAACAGACTTGGGGACCTGATCCTTAGCTGGGATAAATTTACCCTTAACTCCACTGTAGCTATTTGCTGCTTTACACCAGAAGAGGACCTCAGCACAGAGCTTCTTAATTGAATTTCCAAGTTTTGGTGTAAAATCCAAGTGGGTTTAATGACAGATAAGACTCACCCTGTCACTGACTGTCTGGCTGGAGTTCTGTAGGATCCTTTTGAGTCACTGAGTGTCAGGTCTTGGGAATGATGCTGTTTTTGCAGGAACTTGAGTCTCTGGATAGGTTCCCTGGCTCTGCCTTTTCCATTTTGTCTTAGACATGTTCAGCTTTAGAGTCTGGGCCTGGAAGCTGGGCGGGCTGCTGTGGTTCTTTCACATTGCACAGATTTGTGTGAAAACAAAACCAAAAAAGCTCAGTGCAGTTGGACTTTGTTTTTTTGAGAGGGAAACAAAGAGTTGGAAACTCACAGTAGCTGATTGCACACATTCAATAGCTGTGCCTGTATTGCTAACTATCGTGTTTAATGATGCTTAGCTAAGCCTCATCCTAACCGTGTGCTGGGCTGCATCCACAGCAGTGTGAGCAGCAAGTGAAGCTGTTGGAGCGTGTCCAGAGGAGGCAACGGAGATGCTCCAAGGGCTGGAGAAGCTCTGCTCTGGAGCCAGGCTGAAAGAACTGGGCTGGTTCAGCTTGGAGAAGAGAAGGCCTAAGGAGAGACCTTAGGGCAGCTGGAGAACCAGTCTGGATCCTGTAACACCCAAGCAGCCGTAGCAATATATGCCTGATCAGCACAACTGATTGTAATAATGCCACTTGCTGCTAAAAAACCCTCAGGAGATGCATTTTACACACTTTCTGTGACACTGTGAGCAAAGCAAGCTCCTCCCCTGGGACAAAATTTCTCCATCTGGAGGAGGAGGAGGATCATCTGTCCAGATGATGGCCTATTTGTTTGCTCAAAACATGCTGATGCATCTGAATCAACCAGCCCATTTGTAGCAGTGGATTCACTTTGGTCAGTTATCTGACACAAAAAGTCAGAGAAAATGGAAAATTTTCCATGAGTGCTGCTACTTTTTGGAAAGGATTTTTTTCCCCCCTAATTTGAATTTTTCTGTTTGAAAATTAATTGCCACCTTTCTTTTTAACAGGATCACCATGTGAGTGATATTTCCATTAGAATTACCCAATGGCAAAGCTCTTTCTCACTGAGCTAATCAAAATGTACCTTAGCATCTTCATCAGTGGCAATTTCTGAAGATTTGCCTTTCTTTCAATGCAGAACTCTTATGGCCTTTTTCCAAATATTTCCCCAAACATTGCTCTAACATCTCCAGTTGTAATACTTCGGAAGGATATCCCAGGGGAGAAATGAAAGTCGGAGACTGGCTGCACAGAGGACATGGGAAAAGCCGGTGGTTACTTCAGACCTCATCCCTGCCCTCCTCCTTTCTGACAGAGCAGCAGCCCAAGCTCTGTGTGCACTCAAATTTGGGATTTGCATGATGGGTTTCCAGCAAGGAAAATGCAAACAGCATCTTATTTATAACAACTGCTGAGGACTGAGCTTGGGGATAAATTCCCCAGCAGCACCCAGCTGCAAGCCCCTTTCCATGGGAGCAGGGATAGGGCTCATTCTGGAGACAGCAGGGCTGGGGCTGCCCATTTCCCTCCTTCAGAGATGTCCCACTGTGGTCTTTGTCCCGGGCTGGAACTGGAGCGGTTTGTTTTTCAGGCTGATCTATTTGCAGCGGGATTTGTGGTTTCTGTTAAAAAAAAAAAAAAAAGAAAAACAGAAAAAAAAAAAAAAAAAGAGAAGAAACCAAAGGAGTAAAATAAAAATAAAACCAGGCAGATTCCACGAGCTCCATGTTCCCCCATTCCCCTCTCTTCCCTCCTCCTCCTTCTCTCCCTCTCTTCCCCTCCCCTTCCCTCTCCTGGCTCTGTTTTCCTTTTCATGCCAATAACTAGAAGGCTGTAATTTCAAAGCTGCAGCGGCTTTCCCAGCGCCGGGAGGAATGTTCAAGTGCCTGGGATGTTTCTGCAGGGAGCTGCGCAGCCCTGCTGCGCTCTGCAGCCCAGCGAACTGGAGCACAAGGCAGTGCTCAGCCCTTCCCAGCAGCACGGGCAGAGGAGCATTAGGATTGTCACTCCAGAGGATGCTTTATCCTCTTTCCTTAAAATAGCCTCCTCGTTGTGCATGTCAAGTGTTTGGGTTTTAAAGTTGCCATTTATTTTCTGGAAATAGGTTCATCTCAGCCTCCTTTTCTGCCCATGGTCTTCTGTCACCTTGGCATAAGTGAAAGGGTGGCCCCTTTTGGATGGGATGAGTTGCACACTAAACTCCACTGAGTGCAGTGGCTCTACTCCATGATCAGGTGTGTCAGGCTCAGGCATCATGCAAAAAAGCTCGTCCCAGACAGAAATGATATGAAAGGAGGAACAGACAGTAATGTTAAAGGATTTTATAGAAATGGCTGTGATGTTCTCAACAAGATGTTTGATTTGATAAACCCAAAAGTTTTTGTGTAAAAATTTTTTAATTAAATCAGTTGATTCATTTTTAATTAGATTAATTAAAACAAGAATTTGCATTTCCAAAAAGAATTACTGAAAAAGTTCAAACGTGGAAGAAGGTCAGAGTTTATACATTTAAAAAATCCAAGTTTCTGTTCAAACCATGGGTGTAAACACAATGGAAGGTCAGTTGAAATAAAAGACTGAAGTCGCTAAAGGGATTACATACTGTTTTCCTTGCCTCACCTGCATATTTTCATTTTACAGTGAAATCTTTAATTTCCAGTCAAATCTCTTCATTTTGTAATGCAATTTCAGAAATATCAGCTGTTGAGACTGGAAAACTTTTCTCATCCCAGTTGCTTTTATTCCCATTCAATGTATCTTGTACTTGCCTTGTTCTCTGTTCATTCCTCCTCCCCAGTTCTAGTACATATAAGATCTTTCTCTGTTTTTACAGGCCCTCCTGTTGCAGGGACACAAAATGTGAATAAGACAACAGAACAGCAGCGGCCCCAGCCAGGTAAGTGTTGATTTTGTCCTGCTGCATTTGCTAGGTAGTTGGATTTGTACTACACCAAGTGAATACATGTGTCAAGCAGCACAGCATGAACAGCAGAACCTGACAGGGAAGTCTCGGAACAATGAGTCAACAGCAACCAAACTGTTTCTATTTTCCTGCGTTGTCCTTCCCCATTCAAAAGAAACATCCTTGTTTCAGCTGAGTCACGTGCAGTGCCCAGCATGAGCTGCATCTCCTTTGAAGCACCCCAACGTGCTGCGCTATAGGTGGGGAAGCAGTCAGGGGCACGGAGCTGCTGATGCTGCACTGGTGGAATGTGTGCTCTTTACCTCCTCACCTCAGCCACAGGGATGGTCAGTGGAAGTGTCTCCAAACAGAATCAACAGGGCTTCCCCTGCGTCAAAGAAAACCAAATAAGAAAAGCGAACCCTGTTGGGCAGCAAGCAGTGGTGTTTCCTGCCGGTTTCCCAAGGGGCCTTTGAAAAGCTAAATACCACCTTCTCTGCTTTGCACAGCTGCTTTCTATCCCTTCTTTTTTCTTAGGGGGTTGGTTCTTTTGGCATCGATTCAATCCACGAGCAAATGCTATAGATCCAAATCACCAAACCCAGAGAGGAGCAAAGGAGAAGTGTAGAGATTAGGGCTGAGGAGGCCCCTGAAAAAGGGAAAGAATTCATTCCTAATAAATGCATTGTGGGGTTTCAAGAAACACTCAGCCTCGTTGGAGCCAGTGATCAAAATTGTGTTACTCCCATCTGTCTAATGCCCTGTTTGCTTCGGTAAGGGGGAGTCGGGTGAGCGTTGCATTCCCTCATTTCAGAGGGAAGCAAGCTCAACTGCTAACAAGTGAATTTGCAAATCTCATCTGCTGTCCAGCTCTTTTTATTAGAAGAAATATATTTGCTCCTGATTTGTCACTGTTCTACTATCCCACGCTTCTTTTTTTTCACGTTTCATGTTTTCTAGCTGAGACATAAGTGTAGGGTATGTCCAAAGAGATTACAGACTTTGAAAGCAGGCATGTCTGAAAGCGGTGCCAGAAACACTGTGCCATTTGGGTTTCCATAAATAATTAGTGGTTGTTTGCTAAAAAAGAAAGAAGGAACAACATCAGGTTTTGTTCCAGGCCCTAGGAGGAGAGACAGCAAGAGTAAAGAAAGAAAATGAACATTTGAACTGGTTTGCAGAATAAGCAATAATGGACTGTTTTTTTCTTTTGGATAAATCAGTTTTTAAAATATCTTTTACTGGGTCTTCTTTTTTTAGATCCCTATCAAATCCTGGGGCCCACTAGTAGCCGTCTTGCCAATCCAGGTGAGTTCACCTTTACATTTCAGACCACCACAATCAAACGGGTTAGCTACTGGATGAGTAGCTGTTGTTCTCTACCACCAGGGTAGTCATGAGAGACATTGACCATAGCAGCTGTGCTCTCATGAGTGCTTTTGCAAACCTTCTTATAGAAAAGTCAGGAAAGCAGTGGAACATCATCTTTGTCAGGACAAAATCACCAACCTGAATGTTCTTACCCAAAACTAGCATTCTCTGAGGAGAGTTTTATGGGGGACTTCAATGCTGGTCTCTCAGATTTGAAGTACAGGTTAGTTTTTTCACAGTCTGCTATGGATTAGCAGAGTGAAAGGCACAAAACGCCTCTGAAAGTCACCATGTAATAACTGTCCCTAGAATGTCATCCACAGAAAACTGACTTTAGGGAGTGAGACCTGGAGTGAATGTTGCTTGTACTAAAGAAACTTGTACATGTTGAATGCTGGTAAGGAAACTTCCTCACGTGGCTCTTTACTATGAGTATAACCACACCAAATAAAACCAGGAGTCACTTAGTCTGGGGGAGAAATAGTCTTATGTTACTCAGATCACCAACTGGAAAGAAAACTGTAGGCATCCAAAATAAAATCCATGGAAAACAGTAAGAAATCAAAGAGTTGGAGTATACTGTGTTAACTGCTCTGTGAAGAGCTTTGCAGAGCAGTATGCTTGGGAAAAAGCCTGTTTATGAATAGCCCCAAGATTTTAAGGCCAAAGGCAACCATTATGAAATCTAATCTGACCTCAAACTCATGAACAGAACAAAGGGTTGACTAACTTGTTTGCTGGGAACAGTTTATCCATTCCTACTTAGGGCTTTCTAAAGCTTGAAGGACCAGTTCCCAGTAAAGATCGAGATAGTCCTTCTGTTTCCTGCCTTTGTCTTTGCTTTTAAGCAGGAAACACAATGTCATTTCCTTTCCTTTTTGGCTTGCTTCTCGCAGGGAGCGGGCAGATCCAACTGTGGCAGTTCCTTCTGGAGTTGCTGTCGGACAGTTCCAACGCCAGCTGTATCACGTGGGAAGGGACCAATGGGGAATTCAAGATGACGGACCCTGATGAAGTGGCACGGCGCTGGGGAGAACGCAAAAGCAAGCCCAACATGAATTATGACAAGCTGAGCCGAGCCCTCCGATACTACTATGATAAGAACATTATGACCAAAGTGCATGGCAAAAGGTATGCTTACAAATTTGACTTTCATGGCATTGCCCAGGCTCTTCAGCCTCATCCCACTGAATCATCGATGTACAAGTATCCATCAGATCTCTCCTACATGCCGTCTTACCATGCCCATCAGCAGAAGGTGAACTTTGTACCCCCGCACCCCTCTTCTATGCCTGTCACATCATCCAGTTTCTTTGGAGCAGCTTCACCTTATTGGACCTCCCCTGCAGGAAGCATTTACCCAAACCCCAATGTCCCTCGCCATCCCAATGCCCATGTATCACCACACTTGGGCAGCTATTACTAGATGCTTTTATCTTCAAGTGGCCTTTATCAGTCTGGTTGGACCTTTTCTTTACTTCTGGGATTTTTATGTGTTTTTGGGGGACCCTTAATGGAATATTGTGGCCTTTCTGGGGAAGAATTTAAACTGGATATTGGTTATTCCTGGACCAAACCTTTTACTTTTGTAACTTTGCCTCTTGTGTCTTGAACTGAGAGATGGATGCTTCTTCGGGCCAGTACTCTGCATTTTCTTTGGTTTTTAATGCTTATGTCCTCTGTATAAATTGACTATGAAGATTGTTTGCCATTACCTGGAGCGATTATTAGCTTTTTGATGTGAGAAGTTTTTCAGGATTCAAAGGCTTTTGACGAGACATAGATCCAAGTGTGGGTCATAGGAAAAGATGACTACATGGGGGTTTTTCTCACTGTGGAGAGGGTAGGACACTTGACCATTCAGTGGAGGACATTGGGCTGCAGGGGACCGCAACTGGAATCTTAGCTTTAAGGCAGATGAGGATGTTCACCCAACTGGAAATGAAATATATATATATTCGTATATATATATGTACATGTATATTTTAAGAAGTAAAGGGCATTGAAGGAACTTTTCTAGAGTGTACAACTTCATTAGACTGTGTATTAACTCCAGAAACAGCCTCAACCAGAACAAAAAGTAACCTAATGTCAAGCACAGACATTCCTTGAAAGCAAAAGTGAAGGAAAAGAAATGACAGCAGGCCCCTGAGCTCTGCCAGAGCCTTAGGGATCGCTACAAGCTACCGATTCGCGAACGCTGTGCGTTTGTCAGACCGTCATCCAAAGGGTCAACAAATCAGAAGGCAAATTACTGTATAAATTATGCAGAGTTATTTTTTTTTCCCTATATCTCACAGTTTTAAAAGGAAGAGTAAATAAAACGAGTTGACCTCGGTCACAAATGCAGGTTTGTTGTTTTTTTTTGTTACTATCAGCTCAGTTGTTTGTGGGTTGGTTTTGTTTTTGTTTTAATGTAATTTGTACATCTTTTCAATCTGTACATTTGGGCTGGAGCTTTGTACTTTTTGCTAAAAAAAAATAATAGAAAAGAAAAATTAAGACAGGAGTAATGTATCTGTTGGGGAGAGCCTTGGTCCTGCAATTGGATCCATAATGATCCCCAAAGTAGCCAGAAACCTTCCAGATTTCCCCAGGTCTGTCTAGATGAGAGTTTGTTCTTGCATTAGCCTGTCTGCAAATTAACTCCACTTAGTTTGCATTGAAGCTGATTGAAAGTATATAGCAGCAACTGTTTAAGTACTTTGGATGATTTTGCACCAAAATCTTGAACTTTGGAAAGATCTTCACCACTTCATCGATAAAATTATCCAATATTTCTCCTAACATCTTTTGGAAAACTCTCACCAGGGCTTTTTGTTTCCAGTTTAAACATTCAAAACCTCTCAGGCATCTCTAATTTTGCACATGTTAATTCGATGATCCACAAACGGCCATAAAGAGAAGAGTAAACCACAAGCATTTGTGTTTTAGAACAGATGTCTACAGGGGGGGTGAGACTTCCATGTACAACCTATTAGCTCACTTGTATTAACTGGCAAGCAATTAACAGGATCACAAATATCTAGTCTAGACATAACCTCTGGGACTCTGTGTGGGTGCAAGATTTGGTCCATGTGCATCTGATTGCAGGACGGGAGCCTCAAACCAG